TTAATTGGCCGAATTAATCTATAATTTAACCCCTATTCAAGAAACTTCAAGTACAATTCATAACCATTTGAATGAATCAAAAAGAATTTGATTGCTGAACTAAAATTTTACAAGCTGAAATACATCAAGAAAGAATGGAAGAAGGAGAAAGAAGAAAGAAAATATAACAAAGAAACTGAATTCAAATTAAAGGAGAATGAAACTACAATTGAGTTATTACAAAAGATCTTTGAATCACAAACCCCCAATTTCGAACTCACCTTCTTCTTCTTGCTTGCTTGACTTGAACTTCCTTCAGCCCTTCTTCTTCTTCTTCCTTGCGCCTAGCCTTCTTCTCTTCTCTTCTCTCAAGGTGGTCGAACCTCTAAGAGTGGGAGAGCCTTCCTCTCAAGCAATTGAACACCTCTCCCCCCTCCTAGAGGCCTCCTTATATAGTTTTTCAAGGGGGCTCTTGCCCCTTCTTGAAGCCTCTAGAATGGGGTGTATTACACCCCTTTCTTGAACTTTCTAGAGCTCTCTTGAAAGCCTCCCAAGGGCTGCTATTTGGGCTGCACTTAGGATCTCTCTTAGAACATGATAGCTATACTTTGAGCTGCTCTTTTGGGATGAGAATGGGTCTTCTGTGTTGGGCCGAATTCTACTCTTAGCTAGGCTTCCTTTTCTTGGATTTTCTCAAGGAATTCACTTGCTCTTCTTGGGCCGAAGTGCTCTCTCTTGCTTCCACAACCGGGCTGGRCTGAATTTGGTCTTTTTGAACCTTCTTTCCTTGCCTTTTTCCTTCATTTTCTTGGATTAATTACCCCTAAAACTTATTCTTAGCATTAAGCTAAATTAAGGCAAAAATTAATAAAACCGGCATAAAAATCCATGCTAAAGTCCTCAAAAATTATAGATAAATTGTAGGTTCATCAGTCGACATTAGTTTTGAGGAATCTTACCAGTTCGGACAAGCCCTCTGGGGGATGGTTGGACCCAACACGGACCATCTTCTCGAGCTCAGCCTCGTCTAGGGGAACTGAAGTGAGGTCCTTAACTGGTTGGCCTCGGCTTGCTGCCTCCTCCCTAAGGTCGAGGCCCTCTAGTGGCAGTGCTTCCTTGTTCTTGCCCTTTAGTGCTGCCACATAGCACTAGCGGGCCGCTTGCTAGTCCCCACGAACGACTTCGATACCATGCTTAGTAAGGAACTTGAGGGCGAGGTGTACGAGGAGATGACTGCCCTGAGCACGTGAAGGGTCGACCTCCCCATGATTGCATTGTAGGGTGAGCCGATCTTCACAACCAGAAACTCGTTCATCCTCATCACCTGTTGAGGCTCGGTCCCTACCATGATAGGTAGGGTAATTTTTCCCTTTGGTCTAACCACGTTACCGGAGAAGCTGACTAGTAGGACATCAGCTAGCTAGAGGCGCTATCTTCATCTTCTAAAAGGCTTCGTAGAAGAGAATGTCGGCCGAGGAGCCATTGTCGACGAGAGTCCTCTTGACTACGAAGTTTGCAATGACGGCCATGATCACCAAAGCGTCATCATGGGGGACTATGACCCCCTTCAAGTCCTCATCCGTGAAGGAGAGGGTCTCCTGCTGCTTCGGCTTTTTGGGGGCAGGCCCTTGGATGTTTAGCTGCTTGGCGTAGGCCTTGCGAGCCGAAGCCGAGGCCCCACCCGAGGCCATCCCCCTGGCGATGACGTCAATGACTCCGGCTATCTGCTGGTGCTGCTGCTACTGGGAGGACGAGGCACCTGGCTCGCCATTGACGAATTGCTTAAGGTGCCCTCGTTGGATGAGAGACTTTATCTCGTTCTTCAAGTCATAGCAGTCCTTGGTGTCGTGGTGGTACTTGTAGTATTTTTTCGGATTTCCCCTCTTGAGGTTCGTCTTCATCTTCTATGGCCACTTCACGTACTTCTCCTCACCAACCTACATCAAGATCTGGGTCCTGGTGGAGTTGAGTGGCGGATATTAACTGTAAGCGAGGGCCGAGGCCAATGGCTTCTTGTTGTCTTTGTTGTTGTTGTTGTGGTGGTCTCCGTTCTTCCTTTTCTTCTTTGGGGTCCGTTGTTGCGCTCGACTTCCCTTTCTTTGTGGTCCCTAGCCGAAGCCTCCTCACCTGCAATGTACTTTTGGGCCTTCTTGAGGAACTCCATCTTGGTCTTCGGCGGGGTCTTGGCGACCGAGCACTTCAAGGCCGAGCTGGGGCAGAGCCCATTGATGGCAGTGTGCATAGAGACCATGGGGTCGAGATCATGGACCTCGAGCTCTTCTTTTCTGAAGCGGTCGATATAGGACCGCAGACTCTCTCCCTACTTCTACTTAATGGACCTTAGCGAGACCACGCTCTTCTGGCATCGCTTGTTGCTGATGAAGTGGGCAAGAAATAGGTTGGCGAACTGCTCCCATGAGTTGATCGACTAAGGCGGGAGACTGGAGAACCAACGACGAGCAACCCCCTTGAAAGTGGCCTGGAAAGTCTGCCATGTCAAGGCATCGGAATACTCGTAGAGTATCATGAGTGCTCTGAAACTTTCCAGGTGGTCGTCAGGTCTGAGTTCCCGTCGTACATCTCCAGCGTGGGAGCCTTGAAGTGTTGGGGGAGGAGCTCGGAGATGATATTCAGGGTGAAGGCATCCATTCTCCCCGTCAGATTGCTTTGATCGGAGATGATATTCAGGGTGAAGGCATCCATTCTCCCCGTCAGATTGCTTGGTAGAGCTCATCCTTGACAGAACCGAGCTTGGCTCACAGTTTCGTAATCCAAGGTTCGGATGGAGCTTGCCACCCGTCTCTGTCTTCGCGGGCATGGTGAGGGTCGGCACAAACTCCGAAGTGCTCTGAGGTAGGACGCACGCCTCCCATCTAGTGTGGTGGTCGTTCAAGACGTCACGGAGGTCTGAGACCGGTGCAGGAGAGGCACAGTGTCGGCCCTCGGCCCTTGAGTGGGCGCTACGACGTCCGAGGTGCCTGCCTTCGTCCCGGGGGTTCGCCCTCTTGCGGCGGTGGTGCTATTCAGAGGGCTAGCGGCTATCTTCGGACCGCTCTTGCTCTTCCTCCCTTTAGCTAGGAGGTCTCACGTTCCTTTGAGTTGGGTTGGCATGCCGACTGTTGATAGACTCTGCGGGCTCGACCCGATTTAGCTAGGCCAAGGGTTGGTGGCTCGACATGCTCTCGTCGGCTCAGGTGTTTTGATGCCCCGGCGGGGCGGTCACCCCGAGGGAAGCCTCCTGCCTAGGGGCAGACTTGCTCCACGTGCCTCGTGAGGTGGTCCAGGCGATCGAGAACCGCCTGGAATTGTTCATGAGTGACCAAGTTTTGAGTGTTCCTGGCTCTTCGTACCATGGTGATCAGTGCTCAAGAGTTTCAAGGTTTAAGTTAGATGGGAGTGTTTTAGCTTCGGTTTCCCACAGACAGCACCAATTGTTGACACTCAGATTGGCCGAGGGCAACAAAGTCAATTCGCTCCTAAGCTCTGGTGGAGAGCCAATGACCCCGAGGCTCCAAAGGGCGTGAGCCGAGGTAAAGGAATGGAAGCCGAGGGGAATGGTCTAGGGGGCCGAGGGCTCATAGCCAAGGCGAGGTTCCCTTATACGAGGGCTAGTAGCCGAGGTGAGGCATCCTGAAGAGGTCGGGATGTTCTGCAAGATAGGAGATGTCAAAGGCCTCGGGTGAGAACCCGAGGCAGAGGCTCCGACGGTGAAGTTAGTACGAGGAGTAAAGAGGGGGTCTGGTGCAAACGAGGGCTTAGACGAGGTCCCTCGTAAGCACTACGTTCCCAGTCAGAAGCAAGGTTCAAAATATCGATACACCTGATACGTCAGTAAGGGCGTATCGGGCGTTTCGATACTTGCTTTTTTACTTTTTTTTTAGTTTCAAAACTGGTTCAGGGGAGCCAGTCTAAGACCCCTCCATCCCCTGAACTAGTCAGACCCCCGATACACCCACTGTAGGGGCATATCGGAAGGGTCCCAGAATGATACGTATCGGCCAATACTTGAACTACCTGGAGGGGGGTACCTCGTATTTATACTTGGACTGCCTGAAGGTAGGTGGAGATGGACGCCCCAAATGAGTGTCGTACGAGGGCAGATAACGGGTACCCGTGAAGATGCTGGGGTGCTCTGTAGTTGGCCTTGTGTGATGGGAGTAGATAGCCCCTGCTACGCTGGATCGGACCCCGATTGGCGCCTTTGAGCTAAATGCCCCAGCCCATAATAGGCTGGGCCGGATTAGCCCACATCAGAAACCATAGAGGAACACAATGATCTTAGGAGAGGACCATTTCTTTTCTTCCTGGAAAGACACCGATTTCGTCCGTCTTTTTCCCATTATGCTTGTGGTAAGTATCTATTTATCACCAAATTTGTTTTATTATATGAACAATGAATTTAAAAAACCTTCAGGCTCCATTTGGAAGGAGTACAAATGCAAATATGTAGAGTACCAAACCTTATATTTTGTATTATTTTTATATGTATTTATAGTATACATATTTGTATTTATACTCTTTCCAAACTGAGCCTTAGCCACAAAATGGATCCGTTCGCATACAAACTTACATCAACAATACTCTATCGCTTCTTTCCTTACCAAAGGGGCTAGAAGATTACAAAAGGAAGTAGTTGCAACGAGATAAAATCTCTTTTACTAAAACCTTTGGTCCGCTGGGCAGAACCGTAGAAAATAAACAATGCATCCCCCTTGCATCACCAATGGCAGCCAAACAGAAGTGCCTGTAGCACACGGGTCCCCACTATTAAAAAATTGAAGAAAATTTGAACACCGAGAAAGACAGGATGGAGAAACAGAGGGATCTCGTCCCAATTGGCGATTATCGACATTCTGCCAACGATACCGATTCAGCTCAAATATGTGCCCCGAACCCTTTTTTTTCTGAAAAACAACCATGAGCACCCCTGCAAACTTTTAAAAATTAAAGAACAGCAAAAACTATATATTGTGAAAAAAAAAATCAAACTACTATTATACTTTTAACTATAAATGGCATCGATTGAGAAATTTTCACTTCTTTCAATTTCACTATTCAATATAGAAACATGGTAAATTATGAAAACTACGAGTTAGTATTTGGGCGATCTAACCCAATCATTGAATAGTAAATACATGCATGTATGCATGCATGCATGAATACTTTCATTTTAAATGTCAAATATCATCCACAACCTTGCATCATCCTGATCTCCTTCAGAAGCTTCACCACCTCAAGCATGGTAGGCCTCTTCCGTGGCTCGTCAGACGTGCATGCCTTTGCAATGTCGAGTACATGAATCATCTGATCCCTCCATGGCCCCAGACTCGGCATGCACGGGTCTAATACTTCGTTTTCCCTTCCCATGGCTACCATGTATCTCACCCATCCGACCAAATTGCCTCCTTCTATATCTGTCTGCCCTGTGGGGGCCCTCCCTGTAAGCAGCTCCAGCATCACCACTCCAAAGCTGTACACATCCCCTTTGGTGGTGGCCACCATGGTTTGGCCATACTCCGGAGGTATGTACCCAAAGGTTCCAGCAAGAACAGTACTGACATGGCTCTCACATGCGCTGATAATACGTGCAAGCCCAAAGTCAGAGACCCGCGGCTCAAACCGGCTGTCCAACAATATGTTGCTGGACTTAATGTCTCTGTGAATGATGTGGGGCACAAACCCATGATGCAGGAAAGCAATTCCCCTGGCTGATCCTAGACAGATCTTGAAACGAGCTGGCCAGTCAAGGGCCTCAACAGCATCCGCCCGATTCCTCAGCCACATATCAAGGCTCCCGTTCTCCATATAGTCATAAACAAGAAACCTCTCCTCCCCAAAGACGCAATACCCTAGCAATGGGACCAAATTCCCATGATTGACCTTCCCAATTGTTTCCATCTCAGCTAAGAATTCTCTATCACCTTGGAAGTGCCCACCATTGAGCCGTTTGACAGCAATAGTTCGGCCTTCAGGTAGTGATGCCTTGAAGACAGTGCCAAACCCCCCATCACCAATGATGTAAGTCTTGTTGAAATTCTCAGTTGCTGATAAGATATCAGCAGGGTTCAACCGTAGAAGAGAATGCTCAAAAGTTGCAATATTGATGCTTAGCGGCTCCTTCCACTTCTTACTCAGCAGTTCATCACTAGAGGCTGGCTCAATTGCCCTTAAGGGCTTGGTCTTGCCTGAAGAAAGAGCCGCAGTTTCTTGCCTCAGCATCCTCCATTTGAGCAGACCAAAGAAAAAGATGAGAAAGCTGAGTGTTGCACCTAGTGCAATGCCCCAGACAGAGATTCGGTTTAGAGCGGGTGCAGGTGGATAAGATTGTAAGCTAGGTATGTCATGTTCACCAGGCAAGCATGGACCAGCAATGCTGCAATTTTCTGGCACATACCCCTTGAATCTGTTGTTGGAAAAATTGACAAAGGAAAGGCCTGTTATTCTACATATATCACAAGAAATGAAGTCCTGGAAGCTGTTACTAGAGACATCAAGATATGTTAAAGAAGCAAGATTGGGGAGTGACAATGGCAAACTTCCGGTGAAAGTGTTATTGTGAAGATCTAGGATAGAGAGGGTGGTCAGATTGGCGACTGTTTCATCTAGGCTACCAGAGAAAAGGTTGCTGCTGATATCAAGGACCAAGAGAGAGCTGACTCCAAGATTACATCCAGTAAAGGAGATAGGTCCTGAGAGAGAATTCAGGCTGACATCTATGTAAGAGAGACTCTTGATACCAAAGAGGGATGATGGCAAAGGACCGGTTAGTTGGTTGCCTGACAAGTTGAGTTTTGCCAAGCTTTGCATCATGGAACCTAAATTGTCAGGGATGGAACCATTTAGCTTGTTATGTGAAAGGAAGAGACCCTGGAGGTTTGCCAAAGCAAGGAACTGAGGTAGCGCAGGTCCTGTTAGAAAATTGGAAGACAAATCAAGGTAGGTCAAGTTTGCCAAACCTGCAAGCCCATAAGGGATACTGCCATTCAGCTTATTCCCTTGTAACAGAAGCTCCTTCACAACAGTGCACTGACCAATAGTTGCTGGAATAGGACCGACAAACTCATTATAGGACAGATCTAACATTCCATAATGCTGAAAAAATTCAGAATCAGGCAAAGGCACCTCTTGAAAGCCTGAACAGATCTCTTTAGGAATTGGACCAGAGAACTGGTTGTCATTTAGCACCAGATTGTCAAGCAGTTTCAGCTTGGATATAATTCTAGGAATAGGACCTGATAGCTTGTTTGAACCCAGATCCAAAGATACCAAATTTATACAGTCAAAGAGCTCCACTGGGATCATTCCAGTTAATTTGTTCCCATGTAGTGACAGATTAGTCAGATTTTTAAGTTTTCCAATGGAACTTGGGATTGTACCAATAAAGAGATTATTATCCAGTTGCAGTCTCTCTAGTGTTGAGAGTGTACCAATAGTGGCCGGAATGTGACCCTCAATCAGGTTGTTCCCCAATATTATCTCCATAAGGGTCTGTGACTCCCAGAGTTTTTCAGGAAGCTCACCAGAAAATTTGTTCTGTGACAGATCCAGTGTAATCAATGGAAGCTCCACTAGATAGTCTGGAATTTCACCAAAGAGACTGTTTCCAAACAATACCAAATCAGTGAGGTTCATACATCCCCTGAAAGTGTTCTCAATACTGCCAGTGAACTCATTCTCAGACAGCAACAGTGCAGTCAAGGCATTGCCATTGCATATTTCATGTGGGATTTCTCCTGAAAGCTGGTTGGTACCAACATTGAACACAGACAAGGATTGAAGCTTTAATTGTGGCAAAGTCCCATTCAAAAAGTTCCTGCTTAATGTTATTGAATTCACTCTTTTCCAGTTGGAAATCCATCTTGGAACTGGACCTGACAAATGGTTTGAATCAAGTGAGACTGAGTAAACTGACTCCAACCCCACAAGACCCTCTGGAATTGGGCCAGAAAGAAAGTTGAAGGATAAATCTAGCGTCTTGAGCTTGTTGCAGTTACCCAATTGCTCTGGAATCCTTCCACTAAGACCTGCATTGCTAGCAATAAGATAAGTTAAATTTGTGAGTTCACCAAATGTCACAGGTAGATCTCCCTCAAAATTGTTGTGCGCTATATTCAAGTTTGTTAAACTTCTCAGGTTGGACATTTCTTCAGGAACTTTACCAGTGAGTCCACAATTATCAGCATAAAGTACATTGAGCTCTCTCAGATTTCCTATTGTAGCTGGTACTGCTCCATTGAAGTTGTTATTTCCAATGTTCATGGATTCTAGGCTGGTCAATCTTCCAATTTCAGAAGGTATTGGTCCAGTTAGAGAGTTATAGGATAGATCAAGTACCAAAAGTCTCTCCAAACTCCCGATCTCCTGAAAAACTAGTCCTGTGAATACATTCCAACTAGCATCCAAGTACAGAAGCTTAGTAAGATTTCCCAAGCTGGATGGTAAATTTCCAGAGAAAAAGTTCATACCTAGATCCAGAGATTCCAAGTTTGTCAGATTCCCAAGTTCTGGTGGAAGAGATCCACAGAATGAATTTCCATGAATAGAGAGTTCAGTCAAATCTCTTAGCAATCCAATGGTCGAAGGTAAGCTCCCAGAAAAGCTATTGTCATCAAGCACAAGTTCTCTAAGCATTTTCAGGTTGGAAATAGCAGATGGCATAACTCCAAGCAATCTGTTACCACTCAAATCCAGAGATTCTAACTTATCCAAACCCCATAAATTTTCAGGAATAGAGCTACTGAGCACACACTTGCTGAGGTTGAGAACCTTCAAATATCTGAATTCTCCTATGCACATTGGAAATGGAAGATCTAAAGGTAACTGCGATAAATCTATCTGGACAACATTGAGACCCACACATTTTATACCAGACCAGTTGCATGGTGGAATTGCTGAGTTGAACCAGCTTGTAATGAATTCCCTTTTCTGGCTGAGAGAATTTCTGAGAGTGATCAATGACTGAAGGTCATGAGAGTAATTTACCTCAGATAAGGATGACTGGAGAAAGAAAAGCATCAAGAAAGCCAAAAGATGAGAAGCCTTCCATCTTGGAGCTGTTTCTGACATTATGTAACTGGTTCTACCAAGCACCAATGAAGAAAGCTCAAGGAGTCTTGGTTCTGTACAATCAAATCCGTAGCCTTCAGAACCCTTCACCTTCAGGACTTGAGGAGCATCTGTAGAATAAAATACTAAGAGGTCATTAGAGTTTTAGTATCTATGCCTCCTTTTTCTTAAATCAAGCATTATCATTTGACCTTTTATTCTGTTCTTTATCATGGCAAACTTATTCTAAAATCTAAACAATTCATTCATGCAGAAGTGGCCATCAACATCCCATATTACATGGTATTAGCGAGAAGAACTGAATTTGTTGTCTGCTCACAAGAAGTCTATTTTTAAGTGCCCACCTGTTATAAGCTTTATTGTCTATGGACAAGTAAAAGCTTCCTTTTCAGATAACTCTGGGTTACAATCCATCAGGAAAAATACACTTCCCATGGCACCTGAAATGTCTATTTCTTCAGTTTCTTGATTTCGATGCGTTTAATGCTTTAGCTTCATCATTGTTTATGTATGTAATGTTGGACAACTCTCTCCTCTCGATCAGAAAATAGCAAGAGGACAGCTAATTACCAATAGCAGCCATACGCTGGCACCATAGTCAGAAAGTTTGCTGGTGAGCAGCAGCTCAGTTGAGGAATTATTCATATCCCTGCCCACAGAACCTGATTACAGCAAAACCCTTTCATTTATAGAACTAGAATATGTAGCGATGTATCCAGTAGTGATCTCTAGGAGTTTTAGTTTCTAGCAGCAACAACCAGCAGTAAGCTATTTATTCTGTTCCCTTCTCTCTCTTATTGGATCATTTTTATTTTTGTATCAATAGTTTTATGCATGATTATTAGGCGCATCAAAATTAAGTAGCTGAATCCCTCTGTGGGATTTCTATCAGTATTTTCATCTTTTATGCTTCATTTTTAGATCAACGTAGCATACATCAAAATCAAGAAGAAAAAGCATTAGACACATCCTAAGACCTTAAAATCCTCCTGTCCCAAAACATAATTGATCTCTTTTATGGGCATCAATAGTCTGAAACTCCACCAAAATGTTTAAGGGCTTCAAGTAGATTTTTCTCATTCTAGAATCATTCAAATTTAAGTAAAGTTCTGGTTAGAAATTGAATCTTCTCTTTTTTTTTTATTTCCTTTCTTTTTATGATTACATGTAGAGGGGTTTACTTCTTTGTAGTTTGGGTCCTCTGTCCATGTAACTTGAATCCTCTATATATTCCAATTGGGCTTATTGGTCTGCACCCAATAGGCCTGATTAATAATAGGGTTGGTTCTGGTTCTGTATGTAACAAACCCTATAGGGTCTGAGTCGGGGCCAGAACCAGATCTCTATATTTCCTAATTGGTCCAGGACTGATTTACCATGACCAGCCCAGACCTGATGCATTGACAGCACTCTTTCATATCTGGGCATCATAACTTCTGTAGTAAAAGGCAGGATGAGATAAAAATGATTGACTATTTCATAGCCATATAAGAAAAGAGATACAAACATGACGGAGGATTTAACCAATTCAAGAAAACAATATTCTTATCATGCAAATAAATACTCCAACCATGTAAATAGGAAGGAAAAATATGTATTCAGATAATTGATGACCGAGTGATAGTGATCAAACATTAGAGTCCACAATCAGATGTGAGTTATTCTCCATTTCATGATATGTCCCTTTTTCTAGAAGTTCTCAATGGACTCCTCTAAGCAAAATTTATTGAAAAAGAACCTTCCACCTTGGAGATTAATGGGATAATGTAGCTCTACATCCACAGCTTTAGATCCTATCAGCTAAGATTAGGAAGTCCAATGGAACAGTTTCTGTGGTGCAACATGGGCAGGCTCAGGTTGGGGTTTTGTTAAAATTTGAATAGGCCCAGCCTAGACCTAGGCCTGATGCACTGTAAATTCTTCAAATAAGATACCTAACTGCCACCCCTACCTATAACAATCATTGAATAATATGTTCTGTAACTTATTGTTAAAAAATTTGCCTAAAGATGACGACTACATAAGACTTTTCGATGTAGGGTGACCTTGTCTACGTGTCCACCCCCTTCCCCATGTGATTATGAAATGAATCATTGAATTATATTAATAATAATTCTTTATGACAACAGAACACAGAAACATTCCCTCTCGGTTCTCATGGATCTAGTTAATCAAGAAAATGAATACCATGATTAATCCTATTAAGATCATAATTACCTAATTTGCTTTAAGTTACAACTCATGAACTGGTACATTATCAAAAAATCCAAATAAACCATATCTCTTGAGATTCAAATATCAAGGCATTCTAGATCAAATAGAAAACTACCATACACCTTCTAAATATCAAAACACCCAAGTGTATTGAATCAATAAGAAAGTACTAAGGACCCTTTTTACATCATTGAACATCAATTGAATAAGTAGTGTAAGTACATGTAGATCATCATCGTAGAGATTGCAATTTGGACCACGATAATGCAGAGGTAACCACAAAAGAACCTGCAAATCTACAATGTGTGTTACGTCCATCGCTAGAAACATCACAAATTGCAATTGTAAAACCATGCAATCTTCTAGAGTCGCACAAGAACTGTGATGACACCTACGATGTCACCAATAAAAGTAAACCATGGTTACCAACAACGTCTAGCTGCGATGGCACTCCATTCACAATTAGTTGTGTGATCACTAAAAAGACCTTATCCTCACCACATGATTTTGAGTAGCCGAAAGGGTTGTAGCTATAAGCGTGCCCACGTGAGAATCTTAGGAGACAAGGAATCTTTATCCCAAAATATTCTCATTGGACACATGGTGAAACCCTAAAGGGCCTACCTGTTATGTATTCGGCATATCAGAACCACCTTTCTGAGACATGAAAGTTCCTTCCTGTTGTTTTCTAATTTCTCGTCTCCTTTTACGGCCTCGCCCATCCATTTATGAGATCATCTCAAGAGTACTAAGAGAGTTCCTACCTCCTTACTACCCTTACCAACACCTTCCCTCTTACCAAGACTTTCCTCCTTCCCTCACATGCTTGGTCATCCTCTGTCTTTCAGGGAGACCATCCTCTGTTGCCTTACCATCCTACCAAGTCAGTGGTTTGCTAGTGGGCTTGGAGTATTTCTGGATGAACTTGAAATTTAGGGCTGTTATAAGGCAGCATCTGGTGGAGAGGACATCAGATTCATCATTCATGTCATTCTGGTTGGTGATTCTTGTCAATGTATGCCCTGATGGAGTCCCCAATTCCCAAGGGACCTGAGTAGAGCAACAAAATCTCTCCCTTCTCATTTCTCAAAGCACCCCCCATTTTGGATAATCCTGGATTACCCATGCTACTTCCATCAAAGTTCAACTTCAGTGAGCCTTCGGATGGAGGAGACCAGCTTGTAATTGATTTGTCCTTTAGRGATGAACACCTCGCTACTRCTGACCAATTTCTCCAAAGGTCATTGAAGGAGAATTGATGAAAGATTTCCAAGGTCTTCAGCCAAGGTATTGCCCTATTCAGCACACAGTCTTTCAATTCCAGACTACTCCTTTCCTTTTCTTGAAGAATTCTAGCATTCCTTTCTTCCCAAAGAGTCCAAATCAAGGCAGTGCGAGCACATCTCCACATAATTCTCCCTATTTCTGTAGGCCAATAAAAGGTAGAATGGTTGAAGAGCATACGAACTTCTGCTGGTAGACTCCAACTACTCCCAAACAACGAAAGTAGCCAAGCCCAAAGGTCTGCAGAAAAGGGACAAGATACTAATAGGTGGTAACAATCCTCATCGTGAGCTCTACAGAGGACACACCAATTAGGAGAAATACAGAGGAAATGTCTTCTCTTTTGTAGGTTATCTAGAGTGTTTACTTTCCCATGGAATACTTCCCAACAAAACGCCACAATTTTTGGGGGAACTAGCCTGCACCAAATTTTTGTCTCTTGGGACTTAATCAAGTAATACTTGTGTACACTTGTCATTTCAGTGATTTAACAGAAAAAGTTGAACACATCTAATATCTCTAACATATATATTCAAAGCCCTCAAGTAGGAGGGCTTCTTCAAAGGCATGGATAGGCCTCCAAAGAAAAAGAACTAAACAATGTGGGTCCCATAGATATCTAAAGACATGTTGTTACCTGATTCAAATTAGAAAGGTAACTCGGATTCATTAACAACAAATTAAATCTAATTTAGATTCCTAAGTCAAATAAAAAAGCATCCCAGAGGCACCTTACAACATGGATATCAAGTCCTCTAATTTAGTTTTAAAGTCAACGAAAAATAAAATCCAACCAAAGACTTAACCAAATTTACCCCAAATCAATTAAAAAACGAAACCCAAAATCTTTTGGAACTTGTTGAATAGATAGTGGATCCATATATGGTTTCCATGTCCTTATCAATGTTTTTAAAACATGGAGCATGACACGAGGTGTTCCACTACTTGGAGGCATGAGGTGTAGTTCAGAACGTAAGAGGTGTAAGCCTCCTCAGCACAAGGAGGCATAAGTGTCCTTAAGAGGAGGGGGGTGAAGGCAAGAAGGGGAGCGGAAGAAGAGGAAGGAGGGATCTCATCTTTTTCTATGAAAGATGTCTTATATTAAGAAGAATGAAGATGCATAACACCAGCTGAAAGTTGTACCAAAAAATACATAAATAAATAAAACTAGCTGAAAGGGGGGAAGTTTTATTGAAGTGGAGCAAGACTCCCCTAGCACTCTTTCTTTACCCTTCTCTTTCCTTCCCTTCCTAGGGCGTTTTGGGGCCTCCTCCAAGCATACATCTCCCATGCCTTTTAAAACACTAGTCCAGATGTCTGGCTTATTAGCTATCAATATACAAGAGCCAAGAATTAGAGATTTTTTAGAACAAGCATAAATGGCAAAATTAGAAATTGTTAACATTATAAATATTTTTTTCCTTACCAAAAGTAACCTCTTTAACTGAAAAATCAGAGGAAATCCAATTACTTGGAAGCCTACCCCTTACAAATGGGGTTCATTTAAGAATGGCAAATTATGTACAAACAAAAATTCAAACTAAGGAAGTAACGAACCAGGAAACTATGATCAAGATTTTTTTATTGGTATACTATAACTAAGATTTACCTTACAAAAGATATGAATAACATGCCCAAAGTTCCCCCTAACTGCATATGTATCCAAATCAAGGTCGAAAGAATTGGAAACACAATGCGTATTGGAAAGACAATTTTAAAAAACGTACCAGTATATACTTTGGATACTTTGGATATGCATGAAAAATCAAGATATGCATAAATATGCTAGGAAACTGAAATAAATCCTAAAATAATACATTAATAACAATAATTACAAGTTTTATATGATTGCAAATAAGTTATTTAAATGTAAAAAATCAAAATTTAATGGTTTATATAAAGTTTGAGACATCGGGACACAATTAGTAACCGTTGAAAAATGATGGAATAACTAAATTGTGAAAAAAAGAAAACTAAAATGTGTATGTATATACACTAATTTTGGAATAATCAATATAGTTTATCTTAATATTTATTAATATATAAATTTTAATAATTCATTCTAACATTTATTGAGAAGCATCCACTATGAAAAAGAGAAAATTTACTTACAAATAAAAATGCATATAACCATAGCAAGCAAATGGGTGTGTCCTAATGGTGAACTTATGGTCATTAGGGGTCATTAATACCTAATGATCAAGGTTCAAATCTTGCTATTGCTAAACTATGTAGTTTTTACACTAACAAAACAAATTTAATGAGAGAGAGGCTCATTATTTAACAAAATTAATGAGAGAGAATTCCAATTAGGCGCTGAAATTCAAATTCAAATTTAAAATTATGTCTTAAATTATAGGAGTAATTTAACTAATTAATGATTTATCAAAAACTTTTAACTAATTAATGAGAGAGAAGTTACACTTAAATATAGGAGTAACTAACAAAATTAATGAGAGAGAATTCAGCCTTAAATATAGTTTAACGAAACTAATGAGAGAGAAGGGGACTCGAAACGAATTAAGTGTATCAGGCTGTATCGGCTTGTTTCGGGTCCGTATCGGCCGATACCCGAAACAGCCCAATATGGGCCAGTATCTGTTTGATACATATGAAAAGAAATGAGACAGATTATTTCTGCACGTTTGTGATCGGATTTGTGTTGGAACGATACTTTGAACCTTAATCCAAATACAGTGTAAGAACAATTTAAAATTTACAATAGATAATGAATCATTTCCATGTTGAAACAAACCATCTTGGGATAGGGTACCTAAGAGAACAGGTTGTAGTTGAATGTTCTACTAATTGATTTCTAACTACTGCTGACTGCTGAGTTCTCAAGAAATATGTGGAAATTGTGTTTGGGATCCTTGTTTCCCATTTTTTTCTATACCCCTTAGACCAAAAAGAGGCAACAGATGTTGTTTAATCACAATTTAGAGTTGCAAAATGATGGCCTTTGTAGTAAGTTCAAGAGGATCTATAAGAGGAAAGGGGTGAAAGTCAAGAACAGAAATCAGAGACCTATTGGAAGGAATAGTTATTCAGATATGTAGAAAAGAGAGGTGGAGAGGATAGAGATAGATCTTAATTCTAAAGCTCAAAAAGAAGATGGTAATTCAAGAAGAGATGCTAGGAGTAGAGAATGAAAACAAAGAAGAAGAGGCAAAAGACGAGGAATAGGAAGCAACTTTAGATCAAGTGGGAAAAATAGAAATTTGGATATGGAAAATATAGTTGAAACTGAAGTACAATTTAGCAAAACATTGGGGTTATTTTTTTTCTGGGAGGGGAAGAATTTGCAAGAAAGACTTTTCTGAAACTGGAAAAGAAGCATGGTTCGGGTGTGGATGGGTTCTATGGAGAAGTTTGATTTGCAAACGGTGGCTGTTCGGTTCAGATCTGGGTCCTGGGATGTAAAGGGAGTTTATTGGGTCACATGTGTTGGTTTTGGATTCTAGCAGCAAGGTTCTCTGTTTAAGATCTGGGAAGGACTGAAGGAGAAGTTTGAGTTCTAAGGGTTATAAGAGGGTATTAGTGAGTGGGTTTTGAGTTTTCTTTCTTTCAAGTGGGTGATACCTTATCACCCTTTTTGTAATTTCTTTTTATTCCATAATAAAATTTTCTTTTTTCAGTATTACCAAAAAATGTCTTAGATTTGCAAAAACAGTGAAAGTCCATCAATAATTAACAAACATCTTTTGATTGCTGAGTTCACAAGCTGTTTTCTCTATCCACAAGTCTATGAGGAAAAAGTAAGAGATGATAGATCCCCTCCAATTCAAAGTAACAAGGTATATGTAAAACCATAATATGTAAGAATTAAGAAGCTAATTTCCTCTCCCTACAATGGGCAGGATCTCCTCAACCTACTAGAAACCAAATCGAGATGTTTACATGGAACTCATAAGGTAATTTCAGTTTTCTTGAAACTGAAAAAATCTTCACTCTAAGGCACATTGACAATTCTGTAGCAAAATAGAAATGCAAAACAAACAGGGAAATCATGCCAAAATGTTAGTCTACATAGCTTGACTTTTGATAGTATATTCCCTAATCGAAAAATCTAAAAGGTATATAGCCAAATTTCATATTAATAATGCAAAGATATCTAGTCCCTGATGACATTCAGTAAATAAACAATAAGTGGGGAACATCATTTATTTAACATGATAAACAACCTAGTAATTCATTGTAGAAGACAAAAAATCACTTACTTAAAACAACAATTTTTCATATAACAATTAATTCCTGAAGAAGAACCCCAAGACATACCCAAGAAACCGAAAGGCTCCAACAAATGATAAATTAGGTGACACCACTTCACATGTTTGCCAGATTATCCTCCCGTTGAAATTTTCACCCTAATAGCCCCCACTATCTGGCAAAAGAGTTTTCCATTCTGGGTTTTCTTAATTTAAGTTGACCTTAAAAGTAGGTGGTACTTAGAAAGGACCAGTGCATGGTTTCCTTGTGGACCATCAATCAAATATCTAAACATGCTTTGATAGAGAGCCACCAGCATGACAGATGGTATGGATCGACCATATCATCCATTACAAAGATTGAAAGAGTAAAAATGTAGTGAAGACATTAAATTGGCAGAGAAGCTTTCCATAATTATGATTATGATAGGAAATAGAAAAGGGAAAAAAATTTTAGGACAAAACTAAACAAAATTATATGGCCCAAATATCATTACAGATGCGAACCTACTGGTTTCAGACTTCATAGACCACTCAACTAAGAATTGAGATTCAATTAGAATTTGTAATTTAGCCCCCACAGATCTGTAGAATTTGTAATCAAGATTATTGCTCTCCCAGTCAAAGATCAAGTAGACATAATTTGGAGATTAAACCCAAAAGGAATTAGTACCATAAAATCGGCTTACCTGTTAGCTACAGGGGTCCAACAAGAGGCTATTAATACAGTAAGGGGTATAAAAGTATATGGAAGCTGGTGTGCCCACCTAAAATTAAAATAAAATGTCCTTGAGACTATTATTAAATAATAGATTCCCAACTAATGATTTCCTAAATAGGGGAATGGTTCAAATGAATATAAATGGAGATTGAGCCTTGTGCGGTGAAGTAGAAGATGTAAATCATGTTTTCAAGAGCTGTGAAGTAGCAAAAGTTGTTTGGTCGATGGTGGACCCAGCTAATAGACAAGATTCAAACATGGGTATAAAGCATTGGTGGGGGGGTGGGNGGGGGGGGTTATTTGAGAGTAACAATCTTCATAAAAATTGCTTTGTTCTGGAGAACATTGCTGCAATCCTTTGGCAGTGGTGGAAGAGCAATAACAACAAGCTTTTTAAGGCTATGTTTGGTGATTAAGTGGTTGTTAAAATAAGTACTTGTTGCACAAGTACTTTTTAGAAGTGCTTATTTTAGCAACCACTTAAGGCTGTTTGGTGATCCACTTGCCAAATCACTTATTATGTTTTTTAAGCACTTATTGGGGTGGGGGTGTTTGGTGAGCTACTTTCCCCACAAGTGCTTATATTGACACAAATGACAATTTTAGCACTCACTTCACTCATACATATAAACAATGTTTTTCACATTATACTATACATTTCAATGAAAAATCACCACATCATGACACCTAAGAGCCCACGTGGGCCCACACGTGGAGCGCCATGTGGACCCAATTAATAATAATAATAATAATAAGTAATAAATATTATTGATAAATAATAATAATAATAACAAATAATAAATAATGTTGATAAATAACGAATCCAGACAAATAATAAATAATATTGATAAATAACGCAAAAAAAAATTTTATTCATGCATAGAAACCATCACATAGACAATGCAAAAAAAAAATGAAATATTTTGAATTTCTTACATGAAAATTTTGAAAAAATGAATCCAGACAAATATTCACCCAAAAAAACAAGAAAATAACATCAAACATGGAGGGGAGGAGTTTGGGTGAACTCACCTTCGTTCACCGGCAGATGGACGGTCGGGTGTTGCTGGTAAACTTGCCCAATTGCAGATCTGCAAACAAAGAGAAGAACGCCTTTTCAGGCATTAAAAAACTCTAAGAAAAATGCTTCAAATCGAATAAAATAAGCAAAAAAAAATAGTCACAAAGGGTAAAACAGCAGGTCTGCCGGCTGTATTTTCGCACCGTCGATCGTCACCGGTGGACCTGCAACTGGAGTCGCTGCCCTCTGCTTGTTGTGTTCGAATACGAGGAGAGGGAAGAAAACCCTCACGCGGGGGCAAAACTGGAATTAAATAAATTATTTAGGGATTGAATCGTCCCATTCATTTTGAAAAAGCACTTCTCCAAGAAGTGCTGAAAAAAAGCCACTCTCAGGTCACTTTTTCTGTAAGTACTTTTCAAAAAAAAAAGTACTTCTTGGTGACTTTTTTACCAAACACACAAGTACTTTTTTACCACTTAATGTGTGGTCCCAGCACTTAAAATAAGTACTTGTTAAAAGAAGTACTTTTTAAAGAACTGTTCTGATTAACACTCTCGAATTATTGAAAAAGGCCAGGTCCTATTGTTTTGAATATTTTGTCCATAAAAGAGACTTACAGTAAGGAATCAAATTGGACTTTGGTAGAGTGGAAGGCGCCTAAATTAATTTTGATGCTTCCAGGAACTTAGAAGGAAACTGTGCCATTGGGAGTTGCTAGTGATTCTATCGGGATGGTTCTTGCTGCTTTCTCAAAGTCTATTGGTCACACCACAATCAATGTTGCTGAGGCGTGGGCTGCACTGGAGGCTGTTCAGTTGTCAAGGAATTTTGAGGGTCAAAGTGTCTATAGAGGGTGATTCTAAGCTGGTTGTGGATTGCTTAAATGGTCTTATCCCATGGAATTTGAAGTTTATTATTGATAGGTGTCTGGAGGTCCGTCCAAGTGAGGAGAGGAGAGTTCTGTTTAATCATGTGTTTATGGAAGCTAATGCTGCCACGGATTGGTTAGCCAATAGAGATCATGGTAATCCGGTGGTAGGAGGCCCTTCTTACTGGTCTTTTTCTTTTATTTGCTTTGCTGATTTTTGGGGACGGGCTACCCCAGTCTTGGGCTATCCTCTTTCTTTTCTACCAAAAATATAAAACTAAACAAAATTAGAAACAATATTCTAGAAAGTTTAAAGGTTCATTTGACCCGCACTTTAATTCATCAAAATATATTCTATATCTCACCCAAGTTAAAATCCCTACAAGAAAAGCCAAAAGAAACAAAAATGTAAATGAATGATAATCGACGAAGACGACAAAACAGAAGCTAAAACCACTAAAATCCAGGACAGCTATGGAAGCGTATAAAAAGAAACAAAGGCAAAAAGATGTGAAGGTCCAGAACAAGCAAAAAAGAATGCGCGCACGCAAAGAAAAAAAAAGGAAAAGAAATAAATAAATGAATTATATATAATAGGAGAGAGAAAGACAGTGACTCACCTCATAACTCTCGAAGCAACTATGCAAACGCAATAAATGAGCTATTAATGGGGACCATCCTTGTTCATCTTCAGAGACCCAAAAGTCCAAAACCTGGTAAAGTCAAACACCAGAACATGCATAAGGATACAGCCATTAAACTGAAAAGAACTCGATAACGAAAATAGAAACAAAGTATTAAAAGCACGCGACCTCCACGCCTTACACAACACAGAAAAAGCTAAAAACAGTAAACACGTTCAACAGCTGTGAAGCCTTAAGAACTCACAGAGAAGGTACTAAACTAGTAAACTGACGTTCTTGAATATGGAAAATGGAGAAACCCAATAGCTGAAACTCACAGTCTCAGCAACAAAAACATTGCAGAAAACATGGTGGTGGGTGGTGGACGAGTGACATGAAAACCGGGAAAGTAGAGATTAATGAAAGGCATTGGGCTCGAAAAAGATGAATAGACAAAGCAAGATAACTTGTGAAGATGGAATACTTTTTCCAGTTCGAATCAGCGCACTGAGTTGTGAGAAAGGAAGAAAAAATAATTTTTTAAAAGGCAGAGAATGTTAGATCTCCTGCAACATCAACCTTTTTACGTCTGCAGAGTAGCCTACTAGGATATCGGTAGATTGGTAGGGAAGTGATCCGAGAATCTCTCCACTTACGCCATTAAAATAAGGAACCGAAACGATTTCAGATAGATTAACAGAATAAAAATAAAGGAAGAAATTAAAACTAAAAATAAAATCAAATCAAATATATAAAAGAATAAAAGAATAAGAATGATAGTCTTACAGGAAGAAGGATAATATGAACAATTAGAAAAAGATGAATAAAAAATAAAATGAAACCCTAGAATTACTAAATATAGAAAAAAATATTAAAATCTCTCCCCCTCTCTCACTCGCTCGCTGGATTCAAGTTTAGGAGCGACTGAGAAAGCTTCAAAACCCTAGAAATATCAAACGATACAGAGAAGAGCAGTCAGTAAAACTGGTTTCTTTTGTTTCCTTTTAATGGAGATCAATCCAAGCAGACAAAAATGCAAAACCATTCCGAAAGAAATTTCTTGTTATCGATTACTGTGAAGGAAATGCAGGATAAGAAATGCCGAATCGATAAAAATAGTGAAAGAAAATTAGCTCTAGAAACCTCTCTCCTACATACATTTTACATTCTCAGAAGCAAAGCAGTAATGGAGCTTGTTGGAGTCGCAGAAAGCGCAGAAAAGAACATTGTTCAAACTTCAAAGATAAACGAGAAGTAGAAGCACAGAGAAGATTCACTCACGCATCCCAATTGCAACCGACGTATCTGAACCAGGCTCAATAAACTTAAGCGACAAAAGAGAAATTTTTGAAGAAAGATCGAATAGAGTGAAGACGAAGAGGCCAAGAAGAAGATAACAAAAGCGGAGACCAGAGAGCATCTTACTTGCAGAGCTTTTGCAAAGCTTCAGTCTGGTTCCGTACGTTTAGGCCATGCTGTCTCTCTCTCTCTAAGCAGGGGATTGTCGTCCTTTTCTAACTGGCCTTAAGGCATGAGCCCTCACATGCAGCAAAGGCAGAGACAGTTACATGCAGCTCTCCGCCTCTGTCTCTCTCTCCTCCGAAAAGACAAGCTAAGAGTTCTGCATGGCCGTTGGATTGCCCGACCAACAGTCAGACGAGAATATGCGGGAAATTTGTCTCGGGTGCTTGTTCGGTACGCGAATCAAATAAACCTTGCAGTACCTGATTTTCGGTTCTTCGCTCTGCCGCCTCTGCGAACTTCATGGGCCCCACCTTGTAAACAGAGTGAAGAAAATCCGTTTGTTTCTTTCCAACCTCACAACGCCTCCCAGCCGCACATTGGGATTAAGGCTGCAACTTGGGCCGGGTTAGCCCGAACCCAACCCTTGGGTCGGGTCGATACTCGATTTAGGCTTAGGATTGAAATTTATGAACCCAAAGTTATTTTGGGTTGGGTTTGGGTTAACCTCTCAGTCAACCCAAACTTGACTCTATAATATATATCATATATAAATATATGTTATATATATATATGATATCATACATTGATTTATTTATATGTTACAATCATTTATTTCTTTTAAGATAATAACTTCACTTAATCCTAATTAGAAATATAAAAACCTTAATAACATTTTTTATGTTTTTTAAATATTTTGTTCTTTATCTCCTCTTTGTTGTTTACCACCCATAGCTTACTGCCCATAAAATATCTATTATAAGCTATAACTCACAATGAACTATAATCATTTCATTTTTTTTTTCAATTTTGTACTTACAAGAACCAATAAAAACATCAACAAACAAATACTAATAAAATTAATATATGTAGTGAAAGTTGAGTTAAGATCTGAGATTAAGAAGTTCTACGAGATTTTAAGGGATGGGGAGAAGGTTAGGTTGCGCCCAACCTGAAGTTGACTTCGGGTTGGGTTGGGTTAGGGTTGAAGGAATTTAGTTAGAGTTAGTGTTAGGGTTGGGTAGGTCATGTTGAAGGCCGGGTTGGGCTAGGGTTGGCTTCAACCCGACCTAACTCAGCCCAACTTGTAGCCGTAGGTGGCATATGGAAGTGAGGTCAGTGTGAGGTACAATCTGTGAGAGGAAGTCCTGATTATGTTTTTCCATCTAAAGATGAGTCTCGATCTACTCCTTATAGAGCGCTCCTTACACCAACCTCATAGCATAAAGTTCCCAATACATGGTGGGATGTGGTTGTGAGGTTAGTGCGAGGAGCGCTCTGTGAGTAACATATCCCTAGAGGTGTAAATCGAGCCATGCTAGGCTGGCACGGTGCAACCCATGCAGTGTAGACCGTGCCATGCCAAACCACGAGTCAAGTCGAGTTGTGCTTCCCTCCCATGGGATACTTTGGGGGGTCGGCCAGACACGACCCATAGCCCGAGCCCATGAGGCCCATGTCATGTCATGCCATGCCACGGGCCAGGTTGGTTCATGGGCCAAGTTGAGCCATGAACCAAGCCAAGCCATGTTTTTTAAAAAATTTGAAAAAAAATAACATAAATTAAAAAATAGACAAAAATTTTAAAAAGACCTTAAATTTTATTTTATATGAATTTTGATGTATACAATTGTTTATATATACAATAATAAAATGAAATAATATAATATAATTAAAAATAAAACTTTATATATATATTAATATATAATATAATATACATATTATATTATATATAATATATAAATATATATGGGTTATGCCGACACACGGGCCACAGGTGGCACAACCCGCTCAGTCGTGTTGTTGTGAGGTTAGTGCGAGGAGAGCTCTGTGAGTAACAGATCCCTAGAGGTGTAAATCGGGCCATGTTGGGCTAACACAGTGCAATCCATGCAAAGTGTAGACTGTGTCGTGCCGACCCACGAGCTGAGTCGAGTTGTGCTTCCCTCCCCTGGGATACTTTGGGGGGTCAGCCCAACATGGCCCATAGCCCGAGCCCATGCGGGCCCATGTCGTGTCGTGCCATGCCGCGAGCTAGGTTGCTCCATGGGCCAAGCTGAGCCACGAACCAGGTCAAGCCATGTTTTTTAAAATTTTTGAAAAAAAATAATGAAAAAATTAACATAAATTAAAAAATAAACAAAATTTTAAAAAGATCTTAAATTTTATTTTATATGAATTTTGATGTATACAATTGTTTATATATACAATAATAAAATAATATAATATAATATAATTGAAAATAAAACTTTATATATATTAATATATTATATAATTATTATATATAATATACATATTATATTATATATATAATATACACATGTTATATTATATATATAATATACACATATTATATTATATATAATATACATATTATATTATATATATATAAATATATATATGGGTTGTGCCAACACACGGGCCGCAGGTGGCACGGCCCACTCAATCGTGTTGTGTTGTGTCGACCCATGGACCTTAAACCCCAGGCCCAGCACAACCCATATGACTGTGCCATGCCCGACATGGCCTGTAGTCCATCATGCTAGGCCAGCCTAAAGTCATGCTAGGTCATGTCAAGCCGCGGATGGCACAACCTGACTTACACCTCTACAAATCCCAATTCTCTAAGAATCTCTCTTCTATTTCAAACTCTTAAATTTATGGTAAACTTGGCACGTGTTCCACTATTAGATGATTTAATAGCATAATGAATCCATACTTGGGAGTTCACATTGGTGCCCCACATGAACATCTCAGTATGCATCAGGAACATCTCTCGAAGTTGTCATTGGAAAATGCTCCCAATACACGATTAGGATGTGTTATGGGGCGCATTCCCATACTTGTCGTTGCAACACATTTCAATACATGTTGGTTTGCAAGTAGGGCCCATTTAACAGTGATTTTGACAATGGATGGGATCCCTTGTGTAGTGTAGCTCCACTTATTAATTACTTAAATTTATCCCAAGTTTTCTCTAAACTATTTAAATATACCCCTTCTCATATATATTTATACTATATTATATATAAAAGTGTAGATAGAGTGTGGAACTTTTTTTAGACTAAAACTATCCTCTATTTATTTGTTTGAGAAAGGGTATATATAAAAGTGTGGCTACTAAAATAGCCATATTTGTGTATTTAATCCATCTCTAATAGTAAAGATTGAAAATGTAACTATAGCTATTACTTTCCACCTCATATAATCCCTTCTCATTAAGTCTTATACTTGAGGTATTAAATCCCATTTTCTCTTATTAAATCCTATATTTTTAAGTTATTTTTCACTAATAAATGCTACTAATTAGATCTATGTCAATATTTTTGACAATATAAACCCATATATTTTAAAGTTGACTAAAAAACAAAACTATTTTTTATCCAAGTGGTGACGAAACAATTCAACCATCCGAATCAAATTGATCAACCTATGAAGTCATAGTTAGGTAATAAAAATTTTAAAATAGAAATAAATATAAAAAATTACAAAAAAATATAGTAAAAGTTAGACACGTTTATGATATTTTTATAATCAAATTAAAAAATAAGTGTAATAAAATGAATTATTTTTATCGATAATGAATATGAAATACATAATTTAGAATTGACCAAAAATAAAATATAAAAATTAATAATAAATAGTTCAACTTTTGGGTTAAATGTGTTAACCTTTAATGTCATATATAAATAATAAAATATAAAAAATACAAAAATGAAAAAAAATACATAAGTTTTACAAAAAAAGAAAACATTCAGGCACATGTTTAATATCATATTAAACAAAAAGTAAGTGTAACATATCAAAATTATTTTTACACAGAAAAATACAAAAACAAAATTATAGAAAAAAATTGAACATATCTATAACTCTATATTTACACTACTATTAAAAATATAAATAAGATTTTGAAACATTCTTTTAACTAAAATAAGGTTTTAAAAACCAACACGGAAACGAAACAGCTTTAATTTCCGGTTTTCAAGTCAGCAGTTCAACCATCTAGTTTGAGTGGGTCAAACCGGTAAGAAGAAAATATAATGTAACTTTTTTATTTTGACTGTTAGATTAGGATTAGGTTAAAGTCTACCATGTGTGTATACGCACTCATTATTATGAGAGGGGAGTGTAAGACTTTGAAAAAGAGGCAGCTGGTTAAAGCGAAGAAGTGAGAAAAAAGAAAAGAGAAGAAGAAGAAGAAGCATTGTCGGATGTAGTTATAACCATGTTCATTGTTTGTTGGTTGCAGCTCTAACTTGCTTTGCAAGCTTCTATTGCAGCCCTAGCTTGCTCTACAAGCTTCTATTTAGGTGAACATCCAAATCCTTCTTCCCTCTCTTTCCATTTTCTTATTCTTCCCCATTCTTCATTTCTTCTCCTTCAGGTGATCCTTCGGTTGATTGAGTGTGGTGGAGGGGGTTAAAGGATGTTAGGATGGTGTGGCTAGTTATACGTCTAATATGTGGTCGTTTGTGATCTAATTTGGTTGGGTTTTAGCATATGCTTTGGTGTGGTTAGGTAGGGGTGTCAATTGAACTGGATTTGGTCCAATCCAATCCAGTCCAATGTGAGTCCATTATAAATGGACCAGGTCCAATCCAATCCAATGAATGTTTTGGACCAATTTGGACTGGTCCAATTCAATGTCTAGCTAATCTGTTCAAATTTATTTTGATTTAAATTGGTTTCAACCCAAACCCAATCCATTGACGCATATATTCTTATCTTATATCAATGGACTAGATATTGGCTTAATCCAACCCAATCCAATATAAATTTGTTACGGACAGACCAGGTTCAATTCAATCTAATTAATATTTTGGACTGGATTGGTCCAATCCAATATGTCTTGTTGGCTTGTCCAATCCATCCAAATTGATTTTGGACTGGACAGTGTCCAATTCAAAATCGGTCCATTGACACCCTTACTGTTAGGTGAGAATTTACATTATTTATTTATTCTTTTATTTTTTTTTGTATGTTGTGGTTGGATTGAGGTAGTAAAACCTTCTTCTAAGCTTTCGTATCTTTTTTTTTTTATTTTTTTTCCAGGTAGGAAGCTATGGTCTTCATCATGTGGTGAACTTTCCCTTAGCTTTTTGTTCTCATGTTTGAGCAGTTCATCTTCGTCTTGTGCATTGTATTGGTCTTGGTTTCT